TGTTTCTAAGAATGCCTGTTAATACGGTTTTATCATAAAGAACAGCTAATGTTGCAGCAGAGCAGCTGTAATTATATTGCAAGTGTAAAGACAACCAAACTGGCTCTGCAGGAGGGGTTATTTTTGACCAGAGTTTCAGTGGAAGATGCTGCACTAGTAGGACACAGCCATCATGAGGCTGAAACCATTTTCAAACCCAGCCTAATATCCTTGCACAGAGCCATGTTGAGATTGTAAATTGAGTTGATGCTGGCTTGAGAAGGGAGCTCAGTAGCTCCCTCAGGTAGTGCTCTCGGTCTAGGCAAGCCCCAAATTATAACTGGTAAATTCAGATTTCTAGAGATGAGGTTGTGACTGAAATAAATCTCAAGTGTTTCCCCTTCTGACTTCAAGGAACTGATGATTGCTAACAGTGTTGAAGTATCAGAAATGTCTTCCTGCCCTCACCTGGGACACAATTATCTCTCTGGCTAGTAGAAGCATAATTAAAAATAATGGACACTGCCATTATTTTTAGACATAGCCATTTAACATAGCTAATGGGAAAGCTATTTTGAAAGGGAAACCTCACAAGAATACCGTTCAAGATACAAACGTTATTAAGTCTGAATCCAAGCCCCATCTCTTTTTAGGTCTTGGAATTAGTTTGATCCAGACATCTTATTAATGCCTTGCTTCTGAAGTGAACACCTATTCATGGTTGAAAATCACACACGAAATCATGGTTGGATATGGGCCAGAAAGAGAGAAATGTCCATAACTCAGCCTCTTCCCTGCACCTGCAAGTTTTATGCTTGCTTTTCAGTCACTCTGAAACATAAATACTCTAGCTGCATTTTGTTAGTAAGTTGTTATGTATGCATTATGTGGATTTAAGTGTCTTTCAAAGCCATAGTTGAATTTCCTGCATTTTACAATGATTACTTTTTCAACTAGTTAAAGAAATGACCAAATAGCTAGATCATTTACAGTTGAATCTATAAGGTGTGTACTGCTCTGATTATTCATGCCAACCAATTTCAAAATCATTAAGACAGACATTGATTCTGTGGCAATTTTCATTCTTATATGGAAGATTCTTAAATAAAATATAGTACAGCAATACTTTAAAAAGTAGTCATTATGAATGCTATAAATCAGTTTCTTTTCCTGTAAGTTTGTCAAAAATAGGCTGTCTTGGTTATCTTTAGTAGCTTTAAGAAGCAGGGCAGGACACACCAACAAAATAATTTGTCTATAATTAAATTCACAGTATGACTCAAGATTATTTTTTTTGCAATAGTGAAATGTCAACCTTAGGTGGATTGTGTTGTGTTATAATGAGCAACTTGGAGTTAATCAGATGAGGCCATACTGAAAAATTTGCCCCCACCATCTCTGTACATTACAGACTGATGGTTTGGTTTGATATGCTCCTTTTTTCATCCCTTTATTGACGCTGGAATTCATATGCATGTGGAAAAAAATTAATATTTCTGAAGTGTTAATAGTGTAATATTATGGCTTTAAATAGAAGACACAATTTCATTTAAGACCAAAATCAAAGGTCTTCAATTGTGGAAAACAGCATAAATTCCATACATCAAAGCTACTGCAAACAATAGACTCGATGACTCCAAGAATATCATCCCAGTGCAATGCTGCACAGATGGAAGCATCTAAAGGTCAATCGTCTTTTATGGAGAATCCTGCTGCCCTCTTCCTGGTTCGAGATGGTCACTGGAGAAAGAGGGGCCAGCTGTGAAAAGAATGCTTTTCATTAATTTTCAATCAAGTATTGGAGCAAAATACTTGATTTTTCTTACTGAGTTAAAAAGAAAGAAGAATCTTTACAAGGTTTAGTAAGTTAGTGAAGTCACAGCTTAAAGTCTAGTTCACTTCCAGAGAAAGCAAGCTAGGTGTTATCCTACTAATTTATACAAATAACAGTAAAAAAAAATAAATTCCTGAATGTTATTGAATTGATGGTAAAGATCCTAATGATTTCACTTGAAATATTGTAAGGCTTAAGCACATTGAGAAAAGTCAGTGTATTGTTAACAATGTATTGCACAGTTTTCATCAAAGGTATCTATACCACATGCTGTAGATAGCTCCTGCCTACTCTTAGAGCCTAATCTTGCTCCTGCTAAATTGAGCATTTCATAATATTGGCCTGTTAGTCTGATGCATTCACAGACAATACAAATAATTCATCCTTGAAAAATAAAGAGCAGTCAGGCATATTTAACTGAGATCCATATGAACACTTTTGAGTGTATTATTAGGCTTCAGTTTCTCTAGAAACAGAGAAAATACACATAAATATATGCAGGCAATATTTTTCAGCCTGTAAATACCCATCTTACAGTCTATGAAAATCTCCTTGAAATCCTCAGGAAACCCAAGAATACTGCAGTTTTATAGTAAAACAGTAACATTTCAGTCTGAATAAAACCAAGGCCACTTCTCGTACATACACTGGCAGGTGTATATCACACCAGGTAACTTCAGCCAGGTCTGACAGGCAGCTGCCAGGCTCAGAAATGGTGAATTTCCGACAGGTTGCATGGCAATAGGTCTCTGTACAGAAGGGAGAAGTGCTGAGGAAAGGGACTGCAGACCGCGTGGCTGTGCGTCCGATGGAGCAGCGAGTGCTGGCTGCCCCCCGGGCAGCTCCGTAAGCCCTTGCTGCTGTTCCGTAGCGGAGAACGGGCTGCGACACGCAATCTGGAAGAGACCGAGCTTCAGTGGATCCCTTGCTGATGAAGCCGGCTGTTCACTCTGTGGGAAATTTTCTGCTTTTTTTATTACCTCCCAGTAGGTCCTGTAGATTGCCCTCTTGCCTTGTGAGGTGTGGTATAAACATCAAATTAAATGATATTTTATGAACAGAATATGTAAAAGCAGCTTGCTTTTATTTTCAGCTCAGACCTGGCACGAGTACTTCTGGGTAGCGTTCGAGTGCCTGGGAATGGTGAGACTGTTCACAGAGCAAAATATACCGAAGTGCAAAAGCTTCTGCAGGATTACACCATGAGACTGATTTCCAAACCTGTCTCGAGGACTGAATTTGTTAAAGAAAAGGAGGCAGTTCCCAGCTAAATAATTTACTCCCAGTAGAGATCTGACAGAGCCTGAGACTTCTGCTAGTTGGAGTACAGTGAAGGGTGAAACACTCTATAAGGAAATGCAATTAAAACAATCAATCAATGAAACAAAAATCCTCTGAGCTGTTCCTTCTTCTGACTTTCCTTATACATCCTGTCTCTTCTCTGATTTGAATAATTAGATTGAAAGCTCTTTGAAATGAGGAACTGTCTACATTTTGTCTCTTGTCTAAGACTAAGATCACTGTTGGTACTTTAGAAAATATATTAATATTTAGCATTTGTCTTCACTGATGGAATGTTCTCTGATCGAGACATTTGGCCCTGGATTTGTCTGAGAACTTTCCTAGGGATGAACAAAGAACTACTAGTGTGAATTAACAATACATAACATTTTTCCTGAGGGATTTTAGATTGTTATGAGCTAAGAAAGAGCACAGGAAATCTCTAATGTTTTGCCAGTTTGTGCATAGTAATGCCAAATTATGCCTGAAAGTTAGACAGGGACAGGGTGAGATCCTCAGGTACATACCCTCATGACATTTTGGTGAGTGATTAAAAATATGTACCTGTAAGTGGGATACACGTATAGAGCATGGAAGTGAGCTCTTTGACAAATCTCCTGTGACTGTGGCACAAGGGAAATTGTGATTCCAGCTGTCAGGCAGACGGTGAGGAGGGATGGTTTGGGGAATGGGGGAATGGGGGGGTGCCCTGGGGACTGGAAATGTGGCCTGGGCTCTATGGCTGGTGCTCAGCTCCTGTCTCTGTCACAGCCCGTTGTGCAACTTACAGCAAACATCCCATACTCAGCTGCAGAAAGAATCCATCCTCTATCCAAACCCAGAAGTGATATGGCCACAGCAGTGCAAATCTTAGTCTAACTTAACAAGTACCTGATCTAAATAATGACACTGCTTTACATCTCTGCCCTACCCAGACTTTCCAATTCCAGCTGGTGCTGACTTCAGGTTCTCTAAATTGTTTTCTGTTGTACAATTTAGGTGTTTCTCTGTGTTTTTGTTCACCTCCTGTGAAACACTGAGAGTGGGTCTTCGCCACCTCACCATGGTATTTTGAGGACAAATATGCTAAGCACTGTGAGGGACTTAAATACTGTGATGTCTGGGGTCATTTTAGAGCAGAATATTTTTCTGATAATCATGAAGTAGACTCTTTCCGACATCTTATCTTTGAAAGCCAGAGCTCCAGGCTCTAGTTTGCTGCATTACTAGCTAGCTGATGAAGTAATGGCATCTTCTGCTGCTGAAGTAATGGCATCTTCTTTTCTTTCTTCAAGGCTTTGAACAATTTGGAGCTTAGAGAGATGGCCCCTTGTTTCAAAATTGCCCTCTCTGTGCTTAGTCATTACCTCTGCAGAGCTCTGCTGTCCGGCCTCCCAGACCTCTGTAACAGATGCTATTGTGCAATATGAGGGACTGTGATTGAAGTTTCCAGAACAGATTTTAATTAGAAACATAACTTTGTACGGTAGCTTGGAATGAGTACAGGGGGGAAAAAAAAAATCAAAACAAGAGTTGGAAAAGAAAATGGCAAAAAGAGAGAAAAATAAAAGATCATTTTTACTGGCATTTTGTACTGAAAAACACTTGACAGGAAATACTGTGCATATCCACAAGAAGCTGAAGCATATAGCAAACAGTAATAACTGAGACTCTCAAAAGCCAAATCTTCAGCTGGCGTAAATCATCATTTCTTCAGTGATTTTATGGGGGCTGCCATTTCTCATTGACTTCAGTGGTGCTGTGTTGAGGACCCCATCCAGTTTGGCACAACTGAAATCCAGAAACTTTGAATACTTATTTGTTTTGTGTGTTGGATTTGTTGTTGTTTGTTTTTTTGTTTTTTTGTTTTTTTTAATTAAACTTTAATCAATGTTTTATTTTGTAGATTGTCCTCCACTTGGTCTAGAGACATTAAAAATTACTGACTTCCAGCTCCATGCCTCTACAGCAAAGCGATATGGCCTTGGGGCTCACAGAGGAAGGCTTAATATTCAGGTAACATCAATTTTTATCCTATGTGGGAGAACAGCTTAAGGTTGTACTGTTGTATGAAGAGAACCAATGGATGGTTATCGGTTCTGACTATTTTGTCAGCTCATGTAATTCACATGAAGGGGAAACACTGGAATTATAGATGTGAATAAGGTTGATGGATAGCCTTTAGATTTGTGGGGCTTAATTAGAAAACATGCCAGATTGCATGTGCTGAGGGTGCAAATCCAGACAGACCTCTATGAGCAAGCGAGGGTGGAGGCATCCCAGAGCTGCTCCCTTCCCAGCTGCAGGAAATCATCCCAGCTCCCTCAACAATCGGCCTGGAAGGAAGCTCACACAGCAAGTTGTTTTTTATTTTTTTGTTGTTTGCCTGGAGTTAATGACAATGATTAATTGAAAATGTGGTTTCAAGTAAAACACTTGCCCAAAGGCAGTTTTTCAGAGGCAAGGATTATACTAACAAAAAATGCTTAAATTCAGAAGTCACTACCCTACAATCTGGTTTAGCTTCTTTTATTTGTTATTAAAGATGTATTTAGGTGTTTTGCAGGATCAAATTCTGTTTTCCCATTTCTTGTGTTTCTGTCTTCCACTTTATTAGTGCTGTTTTCTGCAATTACAATATTTTTCAGTGTAAAAATGCTACTTTTGCATAATAAATTACAACATTTAAAAATCAGAGTCATAAACAGGATACTAACACCAAGTCAACAGTGAAAAATCCCTAAATCTTATTTAATTTATTAGTTACTTTTTATTATTAGTCCCTACATTAGTTGTTTGTTTTTTTTTTTTCTCCAGCTGGAAGTGTTTGCCAGTTAATGAACTAAGACTGGGACTAGGAAGGATGAGCTCTAATTAGTAGTGCAATTTCACATGGTGCTCATTGGAGTGTAATGGTGGGCAGCTGCTGGAAGGAGGGACTACTCTTGTTTAAAATCCCACTGTAGTGCCTCTGTATAAACAGCTCTATAAGTTTCTCTGCAGGGGAAAAAAAAAAAACAAAACAAAACACTACCACCCTCTTCCCCCCTCCTGTTTGTTTTTATTAATTTATGTTGGTTAGAAGGCTTAGTAAACCCCTTTGCTATGCAGCCACACAAACCAGCTGGAGGTGAGGGGCAGGAGACCAGCACAGAGGTAGGAACAGGCTCTTCCTTTCCTAAGTCATAATGCAACTACAGCGTGCTGGTTACAACCCAGGGACTTACCTGCAGCCTTCATATTTAATTTCTTTTGAGATCTGAGTGAGGAAGTTTGCTTCTTTGTTTTTCTCTGCTAGGGGAAAAACAAAACCTCCTGAACACAAAAATGGTGTACAGGTGATATTCAGATAGGTTCTATGGGAATGTTTAATTTTATTACAGTTTTGTTTATGTAGTGGCATAAGACCAAGAATTGTGATGCAAACCTCTGAATTATCTGTTGGTTGTGGTTCTTCGTTTTTCATGCTGGTATTAAAGTCCAATTTATTTAAACACAAGGATGACCATACTGGTTGAGACCAGAAGTCCATTTAGTCTGGTGTCCTGTCATCACCAGTAATGCTGTGTTATAATAGAGAGGTGTAAGATTCTTACCTATGGATGATGTTTCCAGAGTCTCCAGCAGAAGCTGAGGAGACAGTCCTTTGCTTAGCAGTAAACAGAAGTGAGATGCTCCTGGGGCTTGGATGAGACCTTCTTGTGTTGTCCTGTCTCCCAGGACCCCAGAGCCTGCACTCCTCCCATCCCACCTTCACCTACTGGGTAGCAGCTATGCCTGGGACCTGCTGGTTAGAACTGAAATGTTTCTGCCAGGCCTGTGGCAGCGGTTTCTTCTGCATTTATTGTGAGAATAAGCTCCCAATCTCTCCAGTGTGGGGGCTGTTGTGCCCTCCCTGGATTGCTGTGGGGAGCCTTGGGTGAAAAGAACTTCTGTCCAGTGCAGATTGGGTTTTTGCTCTTCTTCTTTTAAAAAATAGTGGTTTTTTTCCTGTGAACAAAAGCTTCAGAATGTCACGCTTCTGCTTGATACCTTTTTTAGTGTTTCTAATAACAAAAGCTGGTTTTATTCTTTTCTGGTATAAGGTCTTACCTGGATCCAAGACTGTGGGAAGCTCATATACAAATACACCAACAACACCTGACTTATAGCAAAGTGACTTCTCTGGCTTACTGTTCTTCTTTGACTGTAGCCCTTTCTCTCTGCTATACTTTTACCTATAATGATGATTTCTATTAATCCTAAAATCAAAAGCTTTTACCCTTACTGAAAGCGTATCTCTGTAGTATAGCTATAGTAATTCCCCAAAGCACTTGACCGTAGTTAACTTGAGTTATCCCTATGACTGGCAGTGTTAAAATTATGGGCTTGCATTTATTTTTCTTTAGATACTGTTTCCTTGGGATTAGTTTAAAATTAATAGCACTTTAGTTATTTTTTAAGACCACTTAGAATTTGTAGATCTCTTCCCTGTTACTTGGGTTTCAGTGGTTAATTTTGCTCTGCATTAAGACTTCAGAATTTCAGTACCATTTAAAAAATATATGCTTATAACCAAGAAAAGGTACTACAGGGGACTGATGTGTCAGATCATAAAATAATTTAGGTTGGTAGAGACCTTTAACATCATCAAGTCCAACCATTAACCTAGCACTACCAAGGCCACCACTAAGCCACGTCACTGAGCACCACATCCACATGCCTTTTAAATATCTTCATGGATGGTGACTCCACCACTTCCCTGGGCAGCCTGTTCCAGTGCCTGACAACCCTTTTGGTGAAGAAATTTTCCCTAATATCCAATCTAAACCTCCCCTGGTGCAACTTGAGGCAATTTTCTCTTATCCTATTGCTTGTTACCTAGGAGAAGAGACTGACCCCCACCTTGCTACAACCTCCTTTCAGGAGTTGTAGAGAGCAATAAGGTCTCCCCTGAGATGGGTAGTGAGGTCCCTGGTGATTTCTGTTTGCTGCTCAGAAGGGTGGGTTGAGGTGTGCTAGGGAAAGGCAGAAGGCACTGGTATTTAAGCAGCTGTGTTTTCATGCTGTTTAGTACTGCACATGAAGAAAAACCTTTGGCCTAAGTCAGACAGACTCAGAGAGGCTGATGTCCCGCTGAGGTTTCACCAGAGCACTCTACTATATGTATGGTGATGAGTAATTTTATGGGCTGCTGCCCTTGTGGCATGGTCTGGGTATCACCACAGTGCCATCATAATATTCAAGTGACTATTGTGTTCCTCCCTAAAATAAGGCAAAATCCGGTCTCTGATCAACCTCATCATCTGATGTGAAGTCAGCTGAGAAGCTTAGGGCTCACCCCAGGTAACTGGCACTACCTCAATTCACAGGGAATGTGCAGAATAATGAAGTTGTTCAAAGGCTTCTGAGGGTTGTTTTGTTTTGTTTGAATTACTTGAAGCGTATAAAATTAGTCAGTGTATGCCTTGTTCCAAAGGAGAACAGGCTTAGCAGAACTGGATAAAACCTTCTAGGATCTGCTTCTCTCTTGACCTTGTGCTGTGTGGGACCTGATTTTCCTCCCAGTCCTCTGTGAATGTGGTGGTTAAGCTGGGACCTCTTGAGAGCAGGAGCAATGCTACTAGAGCCCCATATATTGGAGATCTAGCTTGCAAATGCAATAGTGGCACAACCAGTAATAATTTAACATCATCAGGAAAAATCATAGCATAAAATAATATTCATTGAGACGTTCTGCCTTCAGGGATAAAAGTCATTACTATTTGTCACTTGTACAATAATTAGCAGTGGTTAAAACCTGAAATAATTAGTCAAATTATGTTTCTTTCCCTTCCTCATTTTCCTGGTTGGAGAAATTCAACAACACTAAAGATTAACCAAGTAATGCAATCGTGTATGCAAACAAGCAGGATGTATTGCTTTTTGCCTTTCCAGTTCTTTGTTTCACTAGTTCCTTTTGAAAAGCTCCATTATCAAAACATGAGAAAAAGACAAAATTATTGAAGTTCTACTTTCAGCCTGTGTGCTTTAGTTCTCCTCTACTGGCAGTGGTTGTTATAAATACCTGTGATGAGTAATGTTGTTTTTTTTTTTTTTTTTTCCCCACTCCCAAATTTCCTGTGGTAAAATAATGTTTCTGATCACACTACTGGGAATGGAAAAGAATTTAAGCAGGAGGGGTTTGATATTAGGTATATTTTAACTGCTGCTCCAGCTGAATTGTGGAAGAAGAATGAGATTTCTTTCTTAATTTGAATATATTTAGGTAGTATTATCTTTCTCCTTATTATAGAATAAGACTTCTGGAACAGTGGTAAAGTGAGCAAGTGTTTATTCTGTCCTGTACATCTCTAACACATAAGAAAAGCATGAGTTAAAAACAGTAGTCTTTTATAATTTGTAAAAGAATCGTAACCTTTTGATTTCCCTTCATCTTGGTTTCTGGGTACATAATAAGCAGTTGATTTATTTTATTTGAATTACAATTTTAAACATTCATATCTACAGATAACTTATTCAGGAGTGACAGAAAAAAAAAACCCCTTTCCTATATCAAAAAGGTATTTTTTCATTAGACACTGAATATTGATAAATGCTTTTGCATTTGGCCTCAAGTGAAATATAAGCTGGGTTAGACTTTGAGTTATTCTTGAAAATTCAGTGAAGGAAAAAAGGGTTTTCTTAAGACCTAGTCCTGGCTTCCAGTTTTCATTAGCTCCTTCACTCTCCCAGTTATGAAGGTAATATTAAAGATTAAGATTAAGAAATAGCTTAAAGTTATATGTGTCATAACCTGAATTCATTATCTCTATTAATTCAATAAATAATTTTTAAGTTCAAGTGAACATCTTACTGAGAAAAGGTATCTTGATCTGTAGTCTTTGATTATTCGATTACAATTGTTCTCATCTTTCAGGAATGAAAATTTTTTCAAATAAATTTAATTTAAATTTTAACTACTAAATTTTTGATTGAGTTTATAAGAGTTTTTTATAAAAACAATATTTTGAAGTGGCCATAAGGCAAATTCAAAAACTCAAGTACCTCAAACAAAAATACAGACCTGAAGCCTGAAAAGGGATGTTTCGGTGTAAAATTATTGGAATTCTTTTCCTCTGGAATTAGAATTCTTCTAATAAGAATTTCTTATTGATTAAAATACTCTTCCCCCCTCCCCCCTCTCCCCCCCCCCAGGTAGTACTCTGTGATAGTTATACACAGACTCCTGCTGCTTTTTACCTGTTAAAAATATTACTTTAGCTTCAGAGAAGCTGATGTCAGGAAATAAGAAAGCAGACAAAAGTAACAGCAGAGTTTGTTTTCTTTTATGTTCTCTTTGCCCCTATTTAAGGCCATAGTATTTTAAGTTGTGTGTAACTGTAAGCATGTCCTTTAGAATCCCTATGTTTGCTATACAACTTAAACACATGCTTGACTTTATTTAAATCCAGTTGAAAACGTGGACACTTGAGTATGTAAGGCAGGGTTTCTTTTGAAAATAAGCTCTTTTTTCTCTCCTCTACTTCCCCCTCCTCACTATAATGTAGAGGAGAGCTTTACACCCTGATGAGCATCACACCAATGGGAAATATCCTCAGTCTGAATGAGGGCCAAGGATGCCAGCTGAAGCAATGGGAAATATGGGTACTTGGTCTGCAGAAATTGGTGGAATTTCATCAGTATGAAGGGGATTAATATGATGCTGGTTCAAGGTGCTCTGCAGATCTTCAAGTTTCCTGTCAATCATTTGTTTTAAACCCTAAGGCTACCTCAAATTCCATCTTATTTTAGAATGCCTTGAAACCTTTTATTGAAAAAGGTTATAACTCAGGTCAGTGATCATATTTATATTCTCATGTTTTCTCATTGTTCAATTCTCCTTGAGGAATTCATCTTCCATAGTTAGGTTTTTCTCTGTATCTTGTATCTGGACTTGTCTACAAACTTCACTTTAAAATATCAGAGTTAATACATAGAAGTAGGTGTCTTAATGTAAATATGGTAGATTCAGGAAAACAAGTAATTTTTAAGCTGCCCTGTCTCACATTTAAATACCTGCGAAAATAAGAAGTTTTAGGCATTAAATTTAGGAATAAATTGTTTTACGTCTCTGCCTTCAGACGCCACAACTGTATCCTCTCTTTGTGAATTAGATGCACCCAGTGCCCACTTCGTTCAAAACTGTCTGTAAAAATGGGGGTAGACAAACCTGTCGATCTCTGTCATTGTATCCCAGCTATGACTGTAATATCTGCTCATACTGCTCAGTGGGAATCTGAGGGGTAATTCAGGAAATTTAATTGGCAATTGTATTCTTAAGTCCTTCATTTATGCTTTGTATATACACACACCAACTGAAAACATACCACCGAAGAGACAATAGCTGTATACCAGAGCTTTAAGATCTGTCTTTAATGTAGACTTACAAAGTTTTCTAGACTCTTCATTTATATTTGGGAAATATTTAAGGATATTCATTCTTGGAATTGCATGGATGGCAATGGTAAGTCCATATTAAACACAGATGAAATATAATAAAAATACACATAGCCTCAGAGAACCATATGGAAAAGCTTCTGTGCTCTCTGTGGCAGTAGCCAGCTTGATGCCAAACATTTCCTGGGATTCAGTAATAAGATAAATATCTGAAGACCTCAGATGCTATGTTTCTTTAAATTCTATTTCAGATGTATTTAAAATACAGCTTGCTCAAAATACCTTGCAGCCATTTCTTTGGAACTGTTGAGAAGGCTGTTTGTTGTGTTCTTGCCAACATAAATTGGGATAGAGATTGATACACAAATTGGACTACAGCTGGGCATTCCTAAATTTTTGACCGTTGGTATTAATTTACTTGAGGCTTGAATATCCCTAGTGATGAAAACTAATAATTCTGGGATTGAAAATTGGTGGGGAATGGTATTACAGTTTCCATATGCCTTACACTCTCCTTGCTGCTTCCAGGGGAAAGAAGATTGGTTCAGCACTGAACATTATTTACATAGGTTAGAGATGGCTTTTTAGGATTTCTGTAACTCTGAAGTCCATGTGGATAATTTGTTCTGCATAAAGGCTCTATCAGGCTACAGACAGGTGGACTGAACTGACATTCTTCTTATGCTCTCTCACTCTAACTTATGTCTATATGTAATGGTTCTTAGTTTTTGAAGGGACTCTGCACAATTCCACTCCCTGCTTTGAGTAAGAAAATATTTTGTTTGCTCCATATAGCTTTTGAGAATGACAGTCTCAGGGGTCTTAAAATAGAGTCAAAGGAGTAAGTGGAATGAATAATGACTTCATGTTTTGTTTTCTTTTTCCCATGAAAGACTTTCAGTCTCTTGGTTCTGATTTATGAAGACAGTTTTGCCTTCTTTTCAGGCAGGTGTTAACGAAAATGATTTTTATGATGGTGCTTGGTGTGCAGGAAGAAATGACCCATATCAGTGGATTGAAGTAGATGCTCGAAGGCTAACAAAATTCACTGGAGTCATCACGCAAGGAAGAAACTCTCTCTGGTCGTAAGTGCATGCTAGTTTTTCTCCATGAGATCCTGAGCTTTCAGACCAAGGAATTCATGTTGCGTTGTGGTTTGGTTCTTCAAGGAAAAAAAAGAAAGAATGGAAATGCTGTGCTAACCAGTAATTGAACAGAGGAACAGTGGAAGACAAGGTGCTTTTATATGGCATAAAATACAAGCTTAAAGGTGGCAGACATTTATAGTCATTATCTACATCTAGTAAAGGAAGAACCACAATTTCCTTGGATTATATTCCTTTATCCTCACCTTGTCAAATTTGCTTGTGTTTCACTTTCTAATTATTTTCCAATATTTAACTTGATTAGTTTAACATGTTAAAAAATAACCAGTGATCTTTGAGATTTCATAATACATAAACAATCACCTAATAATTGGTAAAATTCCAAAACAATATGATTTTAAAATGACCAGTTAAAGCAACTTTTTTCTCTATAAAACAAAAAAGTATTAATAGATTTATAATATAACCAAAACCCATAGAGTATATGCTGACCAGAACTGCAGTGTTTGGTAGCAGGCATGTTGTGATGTGTTTATGGATGCTAGGAAGACTTCATGTGGTTCAATCCAACTTGCTAAAAAGCTTTTAAGAAACAATGCCTGCCACAAATAAATCAGCTGCCTTGCTGCCTCAGTCTAAGGAGGCAACCCAGCCACGTGTAGCCCAGGAACTCAACTTTGATCTGATAGTGCTGCTCACTTCCAATGCTGAAAGCATTTGTGAGCTTTCTGGTTAACTGGTTGTGTTACAGAAGAAATATATGGCACTGCAAAATAACTGTTTTGCCCAAGTTTGTGCATTTAGTCATTTTTGACCTGTTTCTGAGTGTAGGTGCCCAGATTTCTCTATGATACAGCCAGTGTGAATGAGATGAGAATTGTATATGAAGGATACAGAAATCAGCTGACATAAACAGGAACCGGAGGTGATGGTGTATTGGTTTGGGGGTTTTTTTGTTGGGTTTTTTTTTGTTTGTTTGTTTGTTTGTTTGGTTTTTTTTATCTGATCTTTACAGTGTTTGTTCAGTCTCTTAATTTCTTGTTGAGTCTCACTTCATTATGTGAGCAGATAATCCCACTTGTGCTGCTAGACCTTTTCACCAAATATGCAAGAGATGCACAGCCTTAGATCCATTCTGGTCAGGTCTCTTACTTAAAAAATTAATGTGCCATATGATAAAAGGGAAACCAGAAAAATATCACTATATCTAAGAAAAAAGTCTTTTTTTTCCCTTCTGTAGTTTAATTTCTGTTTTGAGGGGTCTTTTTTTTTTTTTTTCATTTAACGCTGTGGGAGTAGGAGCCTTTTTGGCAATAAGGTTTCTATATTTATTTCACATTGTTCTGTGTTAGGTAGATAATTACTGTAGCAAAGTCTTACTCTTTTCTATATTCATACTCTTGACATTACTGTTCGTATCAACACCAGCACTGCACTGCTATGTCTTGTTGTATTGCTATTTTTAGTTTGGTTATATTACAAGCTTAATGCAGGACTTGACACTCTATTTATAGTTGGCATTCACAGTTAGGGGTTTTTTTTGTTAGGTTTTTAAATTCTTGAATCTTGATTTTGCCCTCTTCCCCCCCCCCCCCAGAGTTGGTGGGCAGATCTCTGAGGGTCTGCAGTAGGAGAAGGGTTGGTGCTGGGAGAGCAGGTCCAGGATCCTCCTGGATTGTTACTCAGATTTTCACAGAAACAGGCACATTTCTTCTTCCTAGGATCAAAGATGGTTTTAACTGGACCATCTGCACTGTGAGGCAGGCTAACGTCTCCTGGAAAACATGTCCTGTAAGATCCAGCTTTGTCCCATGGAGGGGCCAGGGGATTGGGGAGAAACAGTCCCAGGAAGGGATGCTCTCCTTCCCTACCTCCAGTTTGTACACAAAGGACTGCTGTGGAGGTGGTTTTAATTGTCAGTGTGATGGCCTCCATCTCACTTAGTGTCTCTTGATACAGCCTTGGCTGTGGGACTGCTTTCCCTAGAGTCCGCCTCGTTTTCTCTCTCTCCCCTCATCAGATTGAACAGATAAAGTCAGTGTAGTTGATGTTCTGCTTCTGCCTGTGTAAATACCTTTCAAAAATAGTTATTAGTATTATTATTAATAGTTAATAGTTTTTTTAAAAAGAAATAATTTTAAACAAACAAACAAATAAATAATTAAAATAGTTTTTAAAAGTTACTTTAAAAATAACTTGGTACTCCCTGAGGTACCAAAGTAGATGTTCATGTTTTCCAAGGTTGCACACGGCGAATTGACTCTTGTAAGCCAGCCCAGGAGAAACAGTCTAGTAGGACTTTTACTGCTGTGAGCAGGTGGTTCTGACTGTTTTACTGTAATGGGCACTAGATGCAAAGGAATCTCATTAGCTTCCTTCTCTTATACTTAGCTATTGACTGTGATGGTAGCAAAAAGGGCTGTTTATGATATGAAAGTTTGTACAAAAAGATGCCATTCTGCTACCTGAAGCACCTTCCCGCATTCATGAAGTTATATGACAAGAATATAGTGCTTTTGTAAGTAAGAAACATATGTTTGGAGAATAAGCTTCTTTCAGGTAGGAGAGCCAAATAACACCCTTCTGATCTGTTCTGTATTAGAAGCAAAAACCTGCCAATCTTGAGAGCCAAGGTAAGAGTTTTATTTAAACCTTGGACACTTTCCTAGCATTATATTAAAAAAAAAAAACAGTCAAGACACTAGGATATATGCTAAATTCACTAACGCTATTATGTGATAGTGATAAAGAATCAGAAAAGCAACTTTTTTTTTCCATTTTGTATTGAACAAGAAACTTTAACAAAACAGAAAAATTTACCTCACTGAAAGTCCTCTCTGAGATTCTGCCTAGATCAGATTTGTGCTTGTTCTGGTCTCTTTAGCTTCCTGCTGCTAACTTAATGAGGACATGTGAAGTGACAAGGGAGCACATGCAAGGACATGCTGCTGAATCCAGTATCAAATAACTTTGCCCCTCGCTGAAGGGCTGCAACATTTGAGTTATTAGCAGTCTTGCCTTTGATTCTGCTTGTATGTCCAATGCTGTAGTCAGAACTCGTATACTGGTGGTGGAATTTTGCTCCTTTATAGCAGCACTGGCAACAGTAGTTTGGTTTTGCTGATGACCCACTCTACCCAGAGACAGTCTATTTGCATCCGCCCTTTCTCATTGTTTTTGGTTTTTTGGTTTTGGTTTTTTTTTTTTTTTAAATTTTATAGGCAATGATGAATTGAAGATTACACTTGTCACAGTGCAAAGAACACAAAAATGCATGGGATTGTCACTTTATGCTGGAAGGAGCTGTCTCACCTCAGTTACTTCTCTCCCAGTCTTGCTTGGAAACTTGCTGTTTCTTGGCCATGGGGCTGCGGCTCTGCTAACTTGTCCAGAGCTCTTGTGCTTGAGATGTGAGATCCTTGAGGAGGAAGAGGCCAAGTTGCAGAAACAGGTCTTGAAAACACAGGAGACCTGACTAGAGAAAGAAGGAAGCCATGCTTGTTTAGTAATGAATACTTGAATTGTTTAATCACTTCCTTTCAAGGAAAACCACTTTGGAGTAAAATTTTATGCTCAAAATGCATGGCTCTGAATGCCATGATAGTCACGTGGAATCAAATCTTTCTGTTTTTCTGTTTTCCTTCTGCAACAATCAAAACCACTCTTTGAACAAAGAACTCCTGAATTGGAGAAATCCTTCCTTTTTCCAATCAAATCAAGCATGCAGACTCAAGGGCTGTTGTTGTTCAGGCACCTCAGTCATTCTTGGGAAACCTGAAATCATGGCAAAGCCCTCTTTCACCATCATAAATGACAAACTCTGCTTAGATTATCCAGAATATCTGCAGATGTGGAATTTCACAGAAGTGGGGCCCAGATGCATGAACCAGGATTTCTTTTTGATGTTCACACAGAAGATACCCAAAACTCAGAAGTGCCACATGTGTTGGTTGAATAAAAGCTAACAGCTCGAGAGTGGGCAGAATATCATTTTCTTTGTATGAACTGAGAACATCTGGAGATCTGTGTCTCTGGGCAGTTACCACACTGTTTCACTATGAATATCCAGCAGTCGATGGACATCAGTTACATCTCTTTGCAGAGCTGTTCTGTTTGCCTTCTCAGGATAGAGAAAGTTGTGTGAGTGATGTGACCTTTTAGAAAGGCATGTGCCATCCTCCCTGGGGGAGGTGGATGGTGCCATAGCTGGGCTACAAGAGGGTTTTATGGGGAAGAAATACAGTATGTCATTCTTTATATTGCTGCCAATACATCTTTCAGTTTTATGAACTGAGTATCTTTAAACAACTATTCAAGACAATTGAGTGGGACACTGGAAGCATCACTGTGGAATTGTGCCATATATTTAAAGCAGTGATGTGATAGTTTAAAATATGCACTCTCTTGACACAGGGAAAGAAAAGATTAATCACTCTTAGCAGTCTGGCAAGAATCTAAAAAACATTGGAAATGTGTTTCCCACAACCCAAACTATCTTTTGATAATTCAGCACCACCATTTGTATCAAGAGAAAACCCACGTATCTAAATAGACTCAGTGTGTACTGATTGTAATATAAAGTTTCAGACTGTTTCAACACAGAGGATGTTTTGATTTTTAGAAGAGGCTGCAACGTTTCTGTGAGTAAGATGTATTTGTGACTTGACACATTTTTCTTAAAATTAAATTTTCAACCATGTTAAATTATGCATTACTGCTGCATGTCATGAAATAAAATGACAACAATAGGAACAAACATAGATAAAATAATTTGTGTAGAATGCTCAAATTCCAAAGCAAAATTCTGAAATTTTTAGAAAAAAATAAAAATAGACTTACTTCCAAGTATGTTTTCTTTAAGACCTTTCAGCTTCATGAAAATATTGAAGATTTTTTACTTTTATGCAAGATACTGGTCTTTAGAGGGAAAAAAAAAAAGGAGATAGGGTGCCAATTTTCAAAGTCTGCTTTGGGTAGAT